GGCAAAAACCAGAAGTGTCAAACAGATCACTCTGACACATAAGCTTCTCACACAAGAAGCTGCATGGGGAGGGATACAAAATTCCTAACATTCTCAGCTGGCAAAGAGTGAATGGAAAAATGTTATGCATGAAAGCCACTATCAGATACCATTTAGCACTTTATAACCTGGAGTAGTTTTCCCCATATGACTGAAGACTGAGATTCCAGTTCTCGGGATTCTCGCAAGCTGAATAAACTGGGAAAGATCTGTCTGTCTCTGACCTACAGGTATTTTTTGTTAGTTAAATTGAAGAAGATATCTATATATAGGAATGAATATTTTTCTCAAATATGTAAGAATTCTTGAAGAGGGAAAAATCCAACATTTTAGGATAATCTTTTGAAGATACTTTAAATAAGCAGAAAACAAACTTTCGCAACATCACGGAAGTGACCTGTGCTTAGCCCTTCTGAAGTTTACAGTCATTAAACAAAGGATGCAAAAGACTTTACACCTAAACTGCAGCTCGCTGTCAAGCTACACATGCTAGAAGTTTGTTGAAGCTTAGGAAAAAACCCATCCACATACATCTCTCAAATGATTTACCAAGCTTTACACTCACTCTAAAAATAGTAAAAATAACATATTCACTTGCTAGCTCTAATGCCACTTGTGCTCTCATGAACACATATTCTACCAAATCACCTGTTGACCTTTGCAGCATGCAAGCAGCAGCCCACTGCAGGGTAGTCCTTACATCACATGCAAGGAACCACTTCCACACTGGACTGAGCTGTGAGCTACCATCACAGTCACCTGTATAAAATGGTAGAGCAAAATTTAGGCCATGCCTTGACTGCAGAAGTAATTTAAGTCATTGCTAGTTGGTGTTAACTCCTCTCAGGATAGTCTGGTTTCAGAAACTCAGCGATTAGGTTGCTCAGCTTAGCAGAAATGTCCCAGACAAGACTGCAGCAAAGACAAGTCCTCCTCCTCTCAAGGAGCATTTTCACCCCCTACCTTGTGACACAATCTCTGAGTCACTAGGACAACTACTTTCACTCAGAAAAGAGGGGACTACAAAGCACTGTAGGTATCTCATCAGTCAGTCTTTTCCTGGAAATGGAGCAGTTTAAAAAAAAAAAAAAATAACAAAAAAAAAAAACAAAAAACAACAACAACAACAAAAAACACAAACACCCACAACTCAGAGTAATTCCTATCAAGGTTTAAAATGGGCTCAAGTAATTGAGGCTCCTTCTAGTTAATGAAATTAAAAATCCCAGAGTTCAACACAGTAAATTTAAAAAGGACAGAGATAAATTTTCCTGCCCTAGAAACACAGCTCTCAGGTTCCCTGTTTCCTACAATATTCCTCAGCTGGCAAAATGGAAAGCTGGCAGCCACCCAAGGTATTCAGACAAAGCGTTGCAATTAGAAGCTACTTAGGGCACCATGAACGAAAATATATGCTAATAAAAACATCATTAACTAACTTGTGAAGAGACTTCTTAGGGGAAGAAATCTTTGCTAACAATACCATAATTGTCATACATTTAAGTCCTGAAGTCCACTGCAACAATTTAAAGCTGGTAGGGAAAAAGTGAGATAGGAAAAAAAGTGACATTTGGAAAATAGTGGGATGGAGGGAAAGTGACTCCAAGAAACAGAATAAAGCGAGCTTGTCTGATAGCACACCAACACAAAGCAGCTGGGTCTGCAGAGGCTAATAATTAGGCACAGAAAAGTAGGGGGATTTTCTTAAGTGTTCTGACAGTTTAAGGTTCTCCCTACCCAAAAAGGGAAAAGAGAAAACAAGATAAAAGGATTAAGAAGCTCTCTCCTTTTGTAATCAAGTACAATGTGCATTTTCCACAGAGAGCTGCTGCAGAGCCATGTACCCCTCTCCAATGTCTCCTTCAGGAAGCACACTGAGCATTCACTCCCACCAAGGCTACGATGGAAATGCTTTTGATCTCCATTTTCTGCTGCATTATTGTCATTCTGCAGAAGTGACGTTTGCTCATTATCTTCCACAAAATTGCAATTCTGGTTCCTTTTCTACTCTGCCTACAATTTCAGGTTTACTGACAAAAAGAAATAAAATCTGTTATCCATATGAATCAGAAGTTACCTGTTCTCCATGACCAACCTCCAACTGGCAGGTCTGGATATTAAGGTTCTTCAACTAAGCCAGGTGCTCCTACAAGGTTTTAAACCCAGCAGTGACCTGCATTTCTGAAGGTTTGCAACATTACAAGTGGCTATCTGAATATTGATTTAATGCCTCAAGGGGGTGCTGAGAGCTTCCAGCTGGCTTCTCTGAGCACCCAGGACTCCGCTCCTTTTCAGAAACAGCCACGTGAATTTCCAGTTTCTCCCAGCTGACTGAAGGCAGGCAGGAGGCACATGGGTTCTCATAGAGCATGCCTTAAATAAGGGCTTGAGACTAAGATATTTAAGAGTGGTTTCTCTAAAGTCTCCAAGCTGGTAGTTTCCCAGTTTGATGCCCAGAGAAACTCCTGAAAACGGAGGAGAAAACTCATGAAAAAGGAGAAACTCATGAATGAGGAGCACAGAAGTGCTTCTGGCTGCTGTTTCCACCTGCCTGGTCTACCACAGTTAAGGTCTAAGCTTAACTTTCGCGGTATAAGTAAGGCTTCAGTTTAATCTGATCCAGTGCTCTTCTGCCGTGAAGGCTCCATGTCAACACATAGACACAGCAACATCTGGCACATCTGGGAAGCACAGAGCACCCCAACTCCACAATACGCACACGCAAGTCCTATGCTTGGCCTTGTGTTTAGGAGAAGGAAGCCAACCAAAGGCAACGTTGAAGGCAACGTTGAAAGAGCAGGAAGTCCTAAACGACGCTATCAGCAGTATAGACAATAGGGGCATTGATGACGCTTCCAGACTAGCAGTGGAACATAAAGCCTCAACAAAAATCACAAAGAACAAGAGAAGGACAACAGCTCTCACAGCAGAAATACCACTTGGAAGACATTTATTTGTACACTATGAAAAACAGCAATAGGCCCAGAGGTTGGGACAGGCTGGAAGCTTTGGGTCATCACTGTTGTTCAAAGGATAATGAGAAAGAAATTAACAGGGGGAGACATTTGTTCTTATATAGCAGATGAGAAGAAGCAACATAAGACAAAATAACCAAAATCCCAGCTACAAATTAAAGTGAATAAGCTATTGAAAAGCATCATGTGTTTAGCTGTAAAATGGGGATGTTCTAGGACAGGAAACGACCTGCAACAGTATGGACCTAACCTTAGGAAACTTGTCTACCTCAGTACCTAGCACTCAACATCCATCAAGTTTGTTCACTGTATCACCCCATTTTCCTGGAGTCCTAGTGAAGGATTGGGAATACATTGTGCAAATACAGAAGAGAAAGATGGTCTTTGGCCTAAAGAGGTTATGAAAACCTGTAACATAACTTATCTGTAATAGTTTCTGAGCAATTTAACAAGGTTTGTGGTAGTCACTGCTCATCATTTTTGGACACCAAAAAAAAGGAAAGCAGATGTTTGAAAAATCATGAGCTTAAAAAAAACCTGAAAGGAAACATAAGGGACTAAATGGGAAGGATGGATTTTGTGTCCAAGAGTCAGAGCTCAGTTGCACATTTCCTGCCTCAAACGAGGCATCATTTAGTTCAGTAAATACAACTTTATTAATATTCACCTACTTTAAAAAAAAGTTTTGAGAGTCTTAAGACTGTGAGAAAATAGATTAATACTTATATCTAAATATCAAGAACCAAGTTGTGTGTGCTAAAGAGCTAAAAGAAAAAAAAAAAAAAAAAAGAAAAAGCAAAGCGGGACAGTGGAGGGAAGAAAAAGAGAATAAGAAAGGAAACTCAAACAATGGGAAAGAAAACTGAACCTTTGCTGCCTCTTGCAATAATTAGTCAGTTATCAGCTCCAGATCATGCAGAAATGGAACAAACAAAATTCAGGGGAAGGAATTATGATATACTTCAAATATGTTTTTCAAGATCCGTTTTCCCATCATAAATAACATACTGAATTGCTCAGAGTCAACAGATTTCATCAGGGCTACTGTACATCACGCTGCACATTGTAAATAAAAGCATAAGCATTTCCTGCACTTAACAGCAAAAATCTTCACTGCCTGCAATTCAAATACAAGGCATGGAGAAAACAGTGGGATATATCAGGAATGACATTACAGCCTGTATAAGCATCTCATTTTACCCCAACCTCACATGAGCATAGCTACATTTCTCTATGAACAGAAACACTGTAATTTCACAAGAAAGTTTGAAGATACTTTAAAATGTGTGCATGAGTTTTTCCATTTCTTTCAAATTTCTCAAGATAAATGTGGGTATATACTAAGAGAACTCTACAGTTCTACAGCCTTTTACTGCATCACCATTGAAGATATTGAAAGAAACAAATGACCAACCAGGCTTACACACAGTCAATATGAAATAATGCCCACAAACTCTGTTATGGCTTTTTTGAAAAGTCAAAGGAAAACATAAAAATCAAGATGAAAGCCCTAGGTAGTTCAGGTTGCCTGTGCTAATTTCCAATATAGTAACAGAGGACACAACCCGTGCCCATGTTCAAGGTCCCAACTCTGCCTGGAGTCACCACCTAAGTTCAAACCACCCACCAGCCCTATGTGCTGGAAGTCAAGTGCTTTCAAACACCAACGAAAGCTGCCACATGTAACCCTGATGAAACCAGAGAGGAGCTGGAGACCACTTGGGCACTGCCCAAGCTGTCTTGAGGAAAGTGTCTGACAACTCACACCAGGCTAAGTGGTGTGGTCAGCCTGCCTCTGCATTGCCCCACCTGTGGAATTGGAACATATGTACTTGGTGACTGCTGACCACCTGCTTCACAGAGCCCTGCAAAGGTTCAGTAGGTTTATACTTACAAAGTCTTCTTCAGATGAAAGCTTTAGAAAAAGTATGCCAATGCTTTAAAAGAGTCCAGGATAAAAAAGATGTACTGCAAAGGAATACTCACCCGTTCCTGACCAGCTGTGTCCCAGATCAGAAATTTATGAAGCTCATTCCCGCAAGGCACAGTTTTAGTCATGAAGGATGCTCTGAAAAGAAGGAAGCAGCAGAAATGTATAACATGACTAACACTCTGAATATGCCACCTACAGACCTTAGCCCGTTCTGTTGGGTTAGACTGCATACAGGGAAACTCTAAAACCTTGATAAAATGCCTACAGAAGTGAAAGTCTCCCCATTCTCAGGTAGAATATATGATACCTACATATGTATTTTAAAAGAAGGGAAAAGCCTCTGAGGTTCAGAGGGCATTTGTGCACGGTCCCAGGAACACAAATGCTCCTGCTGCTCACACATAGCTTCTGCTGCTAGCTAGCTCCATCTTCTCAGCCAGCATCATACCACACAACAAACGTGCAACTTTTCACTTAAATGCAGGACACTGGATCACCAGGGAACAGAAATATCACCTGCTGGAACGCATGTGGTGAACAAATGGAAAAAAGTTCTCCTCCTTCTCAACTCAGATCAGGAAATCTTCACGGCTTCTCGTATATTTTGTAGGAAATGCAATTTCTCTGTTTTCAAAAGTGAGATTTTTCTTCTTTTAGGAAAGAGGGTTACAAATTTATAGGCTTTTTCCATATTAGAGCATTTCAATTGAAAGCTGGCTAGGAGAGACTGCTAAACTCCAGTATATTTTATTTCCCTCCATCCTACCTGGATACTGATGAATAATTTCTGTTGTGGTAACCTTCTTCCTGGCTCATAAAAATGCATTTGATACCATGCACTGTCGTTACAAAAGCACTGTATGACATCAAATGACATATGACTGATCAAAACATTTCCTGAGAATGATATACCAGAGCTCTCCTCTACAGCCATTTGCAAATTGCTCGAATTTAACAATGCTGCATTGCTTATAAAAATACTGAGTAAGGCAAAAAAAGCGCAGCATTTTCTTTGGTTGTTTTCAGGGTGTGTGCTTTCAGTTGTCACTCGACTTCTCAAAGCACTAAGCAACACTTTACAGCTTCAAAAACAGGAACTTTGGAGCTGCAACAGCTACTGCAGATTGCAAGGATTGTATATTTAAAACATTTGATTAATTTCGAAGAAAATAAGAATAAAAATCTAGTCTATATAGACAAGTAATATCACCTCAGTGCAAGCTAGCCTTCACATTTTAATCTTCAAACAGGAAAAAAAAAAATCCCTCTAATTTTCAGAATTATGATAATAGAGGGAAAATATTTTTCTATTTGAGCAGAAGACATTTACTTAGCAACAACTTCAGCAGAGGGCAGTGAGGTAAAATATACAGAATAAAAAAAGATACTCTGCGTGGCACTTACCCAATAGTAGGACTAATATTGTGATCAAAGTGATCCTGGACAAATCGACAAACGATGCTTGATTTCCCAACCCCAGTATCCTGAAAATAAAGGAAAGCATGACAGTGAGTTCAGGAGACCCTAGATATCAATACTTCACCTGAAGAAACAGTCAAATACTAATTTGTGAAATTAAAATCTCTCTAGTAGCAAGTGGGGCAGGTTAAACATTTCAAAAGAACAGCAAGCACATGGACTATCCTTTGCAAATGTCAGCACTGTGAATGGAGCTCCCCGGTCCTCTTCCCAAACACTCCCTTCTCTCTAAACCTTGTATTTTTTTGGGTGGATTTTGTATTCCTGTTGCAAGGACTGCAGTACTTCAACCATAGCCATTTACTTATAAGAGAAAATCCCGTGCTTTCAAACACATGGTATATTACCCAGCAAAGCCAGAGAAACAATTTCATTCAGGTCTGTTGCAAGGGCAGCCCAAGCATGTTTCCAAAACAGATTACTAACACCAACCTTTTAGTACACTGACAGCACTAACTTAGTGGAACTAACCTTTTCATGGCAAGACAAGCAAGCCTACCTGGCGGGAACTTCACAAAGGCTTTGGGTGGTTTTGAAAAGACAAGAGTCCAAAGACTTGGATCCCCAGAGATGTGCAGCTATGCCTGTGCAGGTTGTTACTGAACTGTGGTGAAACAGCATTTCTTTAAATGCAACACAACTTGCTCTGTACACTGCAACATGGCAGGCTGCTTTAATCTGCAGGAATAATTTTTTTTTACACCCTCCTTCCCCCCCCAGTCAGTAAGGAAAAATAACAGCAGTACAGTACTGGAATAAAATTCAGAATAACGCGGGGGGTGCAGGGGAAAGCTTGACATTATGCAGAAATACTATTTTAGGCATTTATGATATACACAACTTCCCGAAAATGCAGCATTTTTTGGTTTGCCTCTGTTATTCCATGAAGCCTTGGATGGTAGGTAGAAGAACTTAAATTATACAGAGAATTATCAAGGCAGACAAATAGCAATATGACTATGTCTCCCATAGAATTGTAAAGAGCCTCCTTAGAGACAAAAAGGATGCCAGGAAATCGATCTTGACCTTTCTAAGACATTAACAATGACAGCCCAGGGTCCAGTCTAACTCATTAAAAAGTCAATGGAAACTTTTCTATTAATTTAATTGGAAGTGATTGCAGAACTACCAGACTGCACCTGGTAGTTCTGTTTCTATCCATATTTTAAAACACTTGACTAATCTACACAAACTTCTCAAAAAGTACCAAGACAAGAGAATACAGTTTAAGAACACTACACATATAAATATATATTAAAAAAAGCAACCTTTGCCCACACATAACCACACACATATATATATATAAAGCCTTTGCCTTTCCTGTAATCAATTTTGCAATATTTTCTTATTTTTGAATATGAAAGAATACCTGTATTTAGATTTCCTTTCACCATGCTTAAATTAAACTGTATCACCACTCCAAGCTAAATCTTTATAGACAGAGCTTACTAGAAAACCATCGTTTAAACTCTCATATTTAATTCAAAGGTGCCCTTAGTCAGCTTAAAAGCCATAATAAATGCTCATGCTACACAGACGGTTGTTTATCTACTGGGTTCAATCAATAAGAAAAAAAGATCAGAGAGAAGCAGTGTTTAAAACCAGCCCCACAGCCTTTGATCAATAGCAGCAACACATCCTGTTGCTATTCCCAAATTTTACCTTCATTACCAATTCCAGCTGACATCTCTGCATAATTACTAGACCAGGATGGCAGAACACTTTAGGAAAGGGGGGGAAAAAAAAAAAAAAAAAAAAAAAAGACCTTATGCAATGAAACTGAGGATCTAATTATTATTCCAGATTTTAAATGTTGTGAAGAAACCAGAACTACCACCCACTGAGTGCAAGAAACTACATTTCCCTCTTGCAGGGACACAGTTTCTGCCACCATGTTCAAAAGTAGACATTGACTCCCATGACCTGTTGATGCTTAAGTTTTGTGTACTTCCTTCAGCTCCCTTGACAGGTCACTCAGAAGGGCAACTGCAAGTACAGCTCCTGAGCAAGAGCAGCCCGGTCTCTGGCAAGGACACGACATCCACAAGCGTGGATTAAAGCTTAGCTCATTTTCCTGGAAGCTCGTACCTCTTCATCTTTCAGTTCGTGGTTCTTACTAATGTTTCATGCTAATGTTAAAGGAACTTTAAAAGTTTCCATTGCTCTCACAAGCACGGCTGAACTTAAGCATATGTCAGGCACACCAGTAGCCCTCAAGAAGCTTAAAGGCATTCTTACACTTTGCTCCTGGGGTTGGACTACTGAAAGGGCTAAATTTAGCTCTGACATAACTTCAGTGAAACCAGTGGACACGGACCACAAATGAGCCTGTCTTTAGGACGACCACTGTTGCAGCCAGTGGTCAGTGCTTTCCAGGAGCCAGGCAATTTATTGCACCAAGGGGTTCAGTTGAAACAAGCACTCCCAGCTTCCGTTTTGTTGCCTGGAGGACACAGACAGACAGCTACTGGAGTATAATTAGAGCACAGAGGGGAAGGAAGTAAAAAAGAAGATACCACTTAAGGCAGTGATTACCATTCCATCACAGTATTTAAAACTACTTAAGACAGTTTTCAGTCCATGTTACTGTACTCCAAGATGCTCACCTGCCTAAAAGCAAAGCAAATCACAGTGCATGAACATTATACAATAACTTGAATTAGTTGCAATCTTTTACTGCTAATCAGATCTTATCTTTTACTGACAATAGGGAACTATCTTTCAGGTCGATCTCACAGAATTCAAGGAAAGCATGGTTGCTTCAAAGAAGAAGAAAAGGAATTCACTACTCAGCAGTGCACTGAAATGAAACCTGCTTGCTAAGGCTGTACAAAGCTCCTCTGCTACGATCTGCTTTGTCCTTTGCTATATGGTCTTCCTCTACATATATCCATTTTTCTAACATCTGATGGGGATGATCATCCTTGTTTTGTTCCTTTTTTTTTTTCAAACTTGTCAAGCCACATGCCTGGGTAGCACTCAGGCATGCAGATGACTTATTTTTCCAGTTCTCAAAGTTCTGCTTTTTGCCAGCTTTTTACACCCTCTAATCTGTTTTTCCTGTTTGTTTTACTCCATGTTGGTGTACATAAAACATCAAACATACACCATGTAAAAGGTCACAGCAGTATCAAGCTGAGTGGATTAGACAAGTTTCAGAAACTCAGAATATGTCCTCAGGTGTTATGTCACACTTTAAGAACCAGATCCTGCAATTCTTCAGAAAAATCCTTACACAAGGAAAATCCAAAGGTTTCAGCACTATACTAACTGACTCATCATGATCAAGAGTGTACCACTTCATGAAAGGAGAGGCAAGAAAGAATAAATATAAAATAATTATTCTGAATCAAAGTGTTCATGATGCATTTGATGAGTCACGCATGGGACCAACTGCATATTTTGCTTTTCTACTTTCCTCTTCATAAGCCTTGTAGCATGCTTACAAAATACCAGTTATAAACTGCATTGTACCGAGATAAATAGTGGGGAGGAAGGAAAGGAGTAGAAATGTAATCCACAGCAAGTAAACTGCTATTTGCTTACCAGAAGAAGTAACTACAACTTGAGAATCTCCCACTGGTCAGCAAAATGGATATAGAAATCTGAAGCTGTATCAGATGTTTCTGATAAATACAAGGAACCAATGCAAGCATGACTAATTCCTGATTTTTACCCTTTAACCCTGAAAAGACATTCTCTATTCTTCTAAAACCCACAGATTTAGGAATGAGGAATTTAAGAGCACCAGGATGAAGAGCAGCATGCCACAAAAAACAGTGCTTCCACCCACACTCCTGCTCGCGGAGAACCACCTCACTTGGCTCTTCTCGGCTCACATTACTGTAAAGGAGATGAGAATGTATTTCAAGCCAGCGGAATTACATGATGCTGGCAGCTCATTTGCAGGCAAACAACAACTGAGCTGCTGATTTTTTCTGGCTGAATTGCAGCAACATAGAGGAAGATTTAAAAAAAAAAAAAAAGGGCAAAGGCAGAAGTTCAATATGAAAAATATTTTTAAAAATAAAACCATTTTCCCATTACAAATAGGCAGTTGGTATAGTCTCTGTCCAGATGCGTTTATCCTGGCAGAAAAAACTAATGCAGAAAAATGTACCTCTTTAATTTAAATATGGATGTCTCATATCTTTGCACAACCATGGGACCCAGTCCTCCAAGCACTTTTCCACACTGAAGGGAACTATGTAAACACATCCCTGGTTAGGACGTTAGTCTTTAGCCTTGATATTATAACAGCTTTTAAGAGATTCAGATGGGTCAAGCCCTATTGTGCTGAGCAAACTAAACTCTTCATGGAAATTCTTTTTTACATCTGAAATAGAATAAATGTCGAATTCACAAAAAAATCCACACATACCGTGACTGATGACTAAACAGCAGCCCTATAATTATGCATACTGCTGCAAGAGCTTTTTTATTCTTGACTACGCAGAATCTTTCTGTACTATGTTAACACATAGAGCTTTTTTAATAGATGTAAAATTAGATAAACCATGCAAATATCCCTTTATGACTCTAGGATTTTGGAAACACAAATAAAACAAGAATACTAGACAGCACTTCACATGAGGAAATGGCACACTAAGAATAAACATACTGAAGAAACTGCCTTCGGTCCTCCTACTTTCAAAGTTAAAAAAAAAAAAAAAAAAAAAAAAAAAGAACATCTGGCTTGTAACCACCACAGATCTCATGACTAACTTCCCATTTCAGCTTTAAAAGACGGTTGAGATACCCTGAAGATCGGTGCCACAAAAATCTGCATTGGGAAGTAACAGAGAACTGATCTCGGTAAAAGAGGGATTCAACACACAACTCATTCAGAAGCATGGAAGTTTTCCCATTAGCTTAGACAAAACCAGGATTCAATTCATGGTATTATAATTTGTATAAATTTTTACAAATTAAAAATGTCTGTCTGTCTCTGTTTAACATGTGTTAGTCTCACATACCAGAAGCATGATCATGCCCTAGCAATCTG